TGCATGGAGCACTGGGTGTTATGCACAAACAATGAATCATGGAACACTTCATCTAAAACTAATGATGTAATGTATGGGGATTAACATAAGAATAAAAAAATAAATAAATAAAAGTAAAAAAAAAAAAAAGCTGCCGTCTGATAGTTAAATAAGAAGCTAGACAGGTGATCAAGGGTTTCCAGGCTTCCGGAGAACTCTTGTTTTCAGATGGAAGCAGAAGGCAGTTAAAATAAAGATGGGTAGCACCCACAGTACTTAGTAATGTTATTGAGTGCTTATTGTGTGCTAGGCATCGTGCTAAATGCTTGCATGCATTATCTTACTTACCCTTTACTGCATCCAGCAGTTATCATTATTATCCCCATTTTCAGATGAAGGAAATGAAAAGCTGAGAAACTAATTAACTTCTTCAAGATAGATTCAGGACTGAAACTAATTCCAAAGCTAGGGTTCTTAATAATTACATTATAATTCCATTAAAGAATTTTTTCTAGGGATCTTAGACACTTGAAGCTCTAGGATAAGCAAATTGGATTTAGACTGCCTTTTTGACTAAACCAAGACAGGAATTAAAGGGCTTTACAGGACTTGGGGAATTCTGTGTTACAATTCTGTTGCAAGCAAGAGAGAACTAGACTAATGACATAGGATTTCCAGTAAGTCATGGGCAGGAAGTACACTGGACCAGGACTCAGGAAACTCTAAATATATGTTATCTATTGCATTGGATAAGGTTGAATTCTTTATCTACATAGCACACCGATGTGAGCCTATCTTTTAGAAAACCCCACGATTCCTCCTTTGGTCAAGGTGGTTTTATTGCCCTGGAGACCTGCAGGAGGGTGTGTGGTTGTTGAATAGTAACTGAAGAAGAATCATGTGATAGTAACAGGAAAGCAATGAGGAAGACTGGGAATTTAAGATCTCCTTCTAAATGTTCTCTTTCTTTTTGCCAACAGATGCCACACACACACACACTCACACACACACTGTATACACATTCACGCTTTCCTTCTTCACATATTGGCTCTTTGAACTCCCCATTTAAAGCATGTCTTACCCTAAAATGGTTCATGCTTCTGTTTCCCTTCATTGTTATGAAAAATAAGAAAGTTAGTTGTCTATGCTTAACTGCTTTGCTCAAATAATTTCGTTGATATTTTCACTCTAATATAACAGGAGTTAAATTATATGAACATGTACCAAATGGCCATAAGTATAAAAAAGAGTAATTTGCTGGAGGTAAGCCAACTCCAAGAATATTTACGTTTGAATAATCATGTTCTGACATTTCTGCTTCTGACAGCTGGAACACATGTTTTAGCAATATTCTTTCAAACGGTCCATGTTTCTCTTTTAAAATGTTTGCTTAGTATCCATCATCTGGAGAAAAACTGAAATACCAGCGGCAAGAGGATGTACAACAGCTTCGTCAGAATTTTCACCGGCTCCAGATTCTGTGCAACTCAGCTGAAAAAGAGCTCCGGTATGATCGAGGAAAGAACTTGGACTTGAAACAGCATAATAGTTTACTTCAGGAAGAAAGCATTAAGGTAATTCTAGTGGGCATAGCCTGGATCAGAGGGTCCAGTTGCTAATAGGCCCTGGGGATAAACGAATTCGAATTCCCCAACTGCAATATTTGTGACAGGACCCCCAGATGTGTGGGCAGTGTGAGCACTCTGACTTTGCCCTACCAAGTAGGTACACAGTTCAGTTGTTTCTCTGCTGCTGAAGGCGTGTGTATATTGTCAACTTATAAATGTGACAAACTTTTTTAAGTTACATAATCTTTTGAAATCATTAGCTAAAACTTTTAACACTTACTAAATTTGAATGACCTGACCCCAAACGCTGGAGGTCCTGCCCTAGTTCTATCTATAGACTTATTTATCCCCAAGAGATTTATCTATTATTATTGGTTGAATCAAATATCAACTGCTCCGAGGTACAATTCATAGGAGGGCGACTTGTTCTATCAGAAAGTTAGGAGGACATCCCCCAAACATGCTTGTTTTAAAATAACCTATGTAGAACTGTCATCCACAGAGTTCATCTAAATTTTATGAACCACATAAATATTCAAACTGAACCATCAGGTAAAATAGTGCTTCCTTTTAATTGAAGTTCAGTCCTGTAAACATATATTAAGGACCTAGTTTCTATAAGTCCCTATCTAAAGTTCTGGAACTCAACATTCAACAAATACGTACTGATCATCAGTCATAATCTAGGCAGGCAATCTTGTTGATACTGAGGGTTTAACAGTAGATAGAACCGATAGAGTTCTTATCCCCTGGTCAGTAGGAGTCCATGGGTCAAATCCTGCCTGCCTCTTGTTTTTGTAAATAAAGCTTTATTGGCACACAGCCACACCTGTTTGTTTACATATTATGGATGGCTGCTTTTGCCTTGTAATAGCAGATTTGAGTAGTTCTGACAGAGACCACGTGGCCCACAAAGGCTAAAATATTTACTCTCTGGCCGTTTATAGGAAAATTCGTCATACCTGGAAACCCTAGAAATGTTTGTTGAATTAATGAGTGAGTCCTTCAGTGACGGGTAAATGATAGATTGGTAAAAGGAGAAGATTTTTTTTTGTTCTGTTTTAAATCCCCTTCATGGTGAGGTAAAATACTGGACATTTCAATAGTGAGACATCAGTGTTTTGGCTGGTTCCTTAAGCCAGCAACCTAAATGGAGTCATATATAATAACCAACTACCTTTTATTGACAGTTTGTCCACTTTATCTCTTATAAACCTCCCTACAGCCCTGACCCCAGGGTCAGCATTTTATAGACGAGAAACTGTCCAAGGTTGCAAAGCTAACACATCGTGGAGTCAGAATTTAAGTCCAAGTCTGTTTCTCTCCTGTGATTCTCTTTCCATATTACACCTCTCCTCAATTTGGGATCATCTAGGAACCTCAGCTTTGCAAACTTAGAGCTCACTTTTTAAAATCCAGTCAGAGATGATCAAACTCTGGGTTTCTGGCTAACATTAGACATACTTACTGATTAAGAAACTAGAGTATTAATGTATTGCCTTTAAACCATTTTATTATGACATAGGAAACTCAGAAAGTACATAAAACATGAATATATAGTTTAACAAATTGTTGTAAAGTGATCACCCATATAACCCCCACCCAGGATGAGAAACAGTACATTGCCCACATACTAACAGCCCCTGCCTGCCTCTTTCCCATTGTAATCCCATCACCTTCCGATTTTAGCAGTAACCACTAATTTTGATAATAACCCTCTTGCTTTACGTTATAGTTTCACCACCCATGTATGAATCTCACACAATATAGCTCAGTTTTGCCTATTCTTGAGTATTTTACAAATATAATCAATCAGTATATGCACCTTGTGTCTCTCTTCTTATGACCTACTTTGTTGGGAAGGTTCACCCACATGGTGGCGTATAGCTATTGTTCATCCATTTTCTTTGCAGTATAGTATTCCACCACAAAAAATTGCCATTCTTTATTCTCTCCATGGTTTATGGACATCTTGTATGTTTCCAGCTTGGGGCTATTAAGAAGAATGCTAGAGGCTTGCAGAGCTTCAGGCAGAGAACTGTTCCTCCACCAACACTGAGACACCATACTGGATCCCCTTACTAGTGCTTGAATACCCAAACCTAAAGCTAAAGAAGCCCTCCTAGATGCACGTCATTGGCAATAATAGTGTTTGCTACACTGTCATCTCATTCCATCATCACCAGCATGACCAAAATGCTGCATGTTAGCTCTATGACTATGATCACAGGTCCCAGAGGCCTTTAGCTTTCTTGGCCTATGGCGGAGGTGGACAATATATTATGAAAGGACTTGTACCTTTTCTATTTACAGTAAGAAGTTTAGGTCTCATAACCCTGAACTAATCAAATGCACCAAATATTCCAACACTTGATTTCTTCTTTTCCCTGATTTCTTTGTTTCTTTTCCTGTTCATTAGATCTGCCTGTGTCTTGCCGAGTTTTTCACGGCTACATTGTTCTTTTTTTTTTTAACCTCCTAATCCCCTTCACCTTTGTGCCCATCCCCCACCTCCCTCTGGTAATAACCAGTTTGTTCTTTGTATTTATGAATTCCTTTCTGTTTTGTTTTGTGTTGCACATTCCACATATAAGTGAAATCATGTATCTTTTTCTATATGTGGCTACATTGTTCTTGCAAAATGAAAGTTCCTATCTAATGGGTTAGAGTGCCTTTTGAGAGGACATCAAGATTTAATAGGGTTTAATTTCTTCATTTCTCTGCACATTCATTTCTACTATGTTTAATAAATTATTTTGGTCATTTTTACATGTCTGTTAACATTTTTAGAGATGGCATATCTGGTCTTCAGAAATTAATATAAAAGCAGGTATCATAAGCTTAGCGCTCTGGATGCTTGAGCAGCTTTTATCCAAGGACCTTTGCTTTTAAACAGCATAAGAGTACCTTATTTCAGATATGTTCATTTATTGAACATAAGACTCTTTCCTAAATAGTGAGATATACAAAAGGATCTGAGTAATGCCTCTACTTTTTAAAAACTGCTGCTGTGAACACCCATGTACATACATCCTGATGTCCATCCATAGTATGTATTTCTCTAGGAAGAAAGTGGGAGTGGAATTATTGCATCATAGTTTATATATTACTTCAATTCCTGCTAAAGGTATATATGCCCGCCAGCAGGTATGAAGGTCCATATTGCTCTACATCCTCACCAACTCTTGACACTATCAGACTTGACATTTTTGCTAATCTCATATATGTGTATCATGGTAGCTCCTAGCAGTTTTAATGTGCATTTCCCTGTTTACAAATGAAGCTGAGCAGCTTTCTATATATTTATTTGACATTTGAGTTCCTATTTTGTGAAGCACCTGTTCAAGATTTTGTTTACTTTTCTTTGGGGCTTCTGTCTTTTTCATTTTCCCATTAATTTATAGGAATTCTTTATATATGAAGCCTTCATCAGGTGTGTATTACAAACATCTTCTACCCTATGGCTTATTTTTTCACTCTCTAAATATATGTTTTGAGGGATGCTGGGTGGCTCAGTCAGTTGGGTGTCTGCCTTCAGCTCAGATCATGATTCTAGTGAGATCAAGCCCTGCATCGGGCTCCCTGCTCAGTGGGGAGTCTGCTTCTCCCTCTCCCTCTGCTTCTCCTCTTTGCTCCTGCTCTCTCTCTCTCTCTCAAATAAATAAATAATCTCTAAAAAAAAAAAAAGATCTTTGTCGACCTCAAAGACATAAAGATATTCTCCTATATGACTGTATTGTTACCTGGGTCATAAGAATATTGGTACATATGTGGTCTGTTTCCAAGCTCTCTATTCTGTTCCATTGTCCTATTTTGTCTATTCTTGTGCCATTAACATGCTACCTTAATTACTTTAGCTTTATGTAAATCTTAATATTTGATAGAGCACATCTTTTCAACTTGTGGTTCTTGTTCTAGGATGCCTTGGCTATTCTTGGCCACTTGAAATTCTATATAAATTTTGTCAACAGCTTTTCAAGTTACATGCATATACCCACACATACTCACACACACACATATATACATACATAACCTTTTTGGATTTATACACTGAATTTATACACCAAATGTATCGATAAATTTGGGAAGAATTTAAATCTTTACAATATCGAATCCTCTATGAAATGTGTGTGTATTATATTTAGGTCTTCTTTAATTTCTCCCAATATCATAATTTTCTTTGTGGAGGTCTTATACATCTTTTGTTAGACATATTCCTAGGTGCTGATACTTTCCATACTATTGTAAATGGTAAATTTTTAAAAATCTCATTTTCTAACTATTGCTAATACATAAAAATGCAATATTTTTTTTCTAATAAAAGCCTTGGCATACTTTTAAATTACCTCTTATAATTTATGTTTATATCATTTTGTATTTTATGTGTAAGTAATCATATCATCTAAGAATAAATATAATTTTCTTTCTTCCCTTCCACATGTTACACCTTTCATTCTTTATTCTTGTTCTAAGCAGTAGCTAGTATAGTGCCAAATAGAGCTGGTGGTAATGGGTATATTTTCTCCTTCCCAGTCTCAAAGGAAAAGCTCTTAAATTTCATTTAATATGTTTTTATAGGGTTTTTAAAATATTTTTAAAAATCACATTAAGAAAATTCTTTTCTAGTGTTCATTCAATGTTTTATGATGAGCACATGTTGAATTTCATCAAATTCTTTTTCTGCATATTTTGATTTTTAAATCTGTTAATATGGTGAATTACACTGACTGATTTTCTAATGTTAACTCAATTTTGCATTCCTGGAATAAACCCAACCTCATCCTAAATTATTACCCTTTTTCTACATTGCCGACTTTAGCTTGCCAGTGTTTCTTTGGAATTTTTGCATCTTAGTTCACAAATGAGACTGGCCTGTCATTTTCCTTTCTTATAACAACCATGTCAGATTTTGGCATCAAGGTTACTCTAGCCCCTTAACATGAGATGGGTAACATACCCTCTTTTTCTGTTCTCTGGAAGAGTTTGTAAAAATAAATTACAATTATTTCTTCTTAAATAATTACAAGAACTCATTTCTGAATCCTTCTGATCCTAGAGTTTTCTTCTGGGAAAGATTTTCAGTGACTGATTCAGTTTCTTAATAGTTATAAGAAGTCACATTTTTAAATTTCTTCTTGTATCAACTTTGGTATATTTTATTTTTATAGACATTTTTCATTTAAATTTTCAAATTTTTAGTAAAAAGTTAGTCATCAATTTTTAAATATAGAGATGGTCCTTTTTACTTTCATGGTACTAAATAACCTGTGTTTTAAAAGAGGTTGGCAAGAGGAAAAAAAGTGGGGGGCGCCCAGTTGGCTCAGTCATTTAAGCCTCCAACTCTTGATTTTGGCTCAGGACATGATCTCAGGGTTGTGAGATGGAGCCCTGTGTTGGGTTCCATGCTGGGTGTAGAGGCTGCTTATGATTCTCTCTCTCCCTCCAACCCTCCCAACCTCCCGCCATGTACTCGCTCTCGAAAGAAAGAAAGAAAGAAAGAAAGAAAGAAAGAAAGAAAGAAAGAAAAAGAAAAAAGAACACTTGGGCTGCAATGTAGAGAACAGATAAGAAGGGAGCTAAAATGGAAGTGGCAAGACCACGTTGTTATTGCAATGACCCAGGCTAGAGACGATGATGTTGTAGACAAGGGTGGTGGACACGGATGGGTGGATGCGAGACATGTTGTGGAGGCAGCATCCCAGTGGGTGCCGAATGGGCTCCTGATGGGAAAGGAAGACTCAGGATGACTCTCAGACTACGGGCTTGAACAAAACCTTAGATGGTGGCATCCTTTACTGAAATTTGGAAGGCTGAGAGAGAAAAATTATTTTTGATATGGAGAGACTCAAGGAGTTTTATTTTGACAGTTATTGGCATAAAGGTGGTATCTCAAATCATGACAGTGAACCTAGGGAGAGAATGATCCACTCGCAAGGCCTAGGGTAGTCCATTGATATTTAGAAGTTGGGTAGCATTAGAATAGTCTACACAGGAAGGAGCAGAAAGGAACAGCAAAGAGATAGAAGAACACCAGGAGAGTTCAGTATCATAGACTCCAAGAGAACTTTCTGAGATGGAGGGAGTGAATGGTACCTAAGAGCTCAGTTGTCCTTTGATTCATTTTGGCAGTGGGGAGATCAGTAGTGCCTCTGGCATGAACAGTTTCATGGAGTACTGGGAATGAAAGCCAACTTGCAGTAGATTGAAAGAAAGGATGGAAAATGTTCAGACCATGTGTGCATAGAACCACTTAGGAAAATTCCTCTGTCCAGCTGCCATCTGGCTAGATAGACTTTGGCAAGCCTTATGAACACATGACAGCTCCAGAGAGGTAATCATCCATGTGACACTGGTTATTTGTCAGCTCTTGGGAGACTGCACTGCTATGAAAAGTGCTTGTTCTGGCTCACATCCATCTTCTTTCCATGCTTATTTCTATCACTCTTGTTTATTCCCCACCTCTAGATCAAAACTGAACTAAAGCAGGCCCAGCAGAAGTTATTAGATAGCACAAAGATGTGCTCTTCACTCACAGCAGAATGGAAGCACTGTCAGCAGAAAATCAGGGAACTGGAGCTGGAGGGACTCAAACAGGCTCAGAGCATTAAATCACAGAACAACCTGCAGGAAAAGCTGGCTCAGGAGAAATCAAAAGTTGCTGATGCAGAGGCAAAGGTAATTATCCTCATGCTTAATAAATAGCATGCACTGGATACCACTTCTGAAATCCTGTTTCCCTAAGGATTTTAAGAAGTAGCTATGAGGCAAACTTGATAGAATTCTAGGGTTTTTCTTTGCTCTTCCATGCTGTCCTCTCTTTTGACTTCACCTGCTCCTGCAGTTCCAGTAAATCTCTTGTTTCTTTAAACTGTGTGAACTTAAAAGGTAGGTTTCATTGAAGCTATAACATGAACTTAAAGAACTGATTGAAGCCATTTGACTTTGTTTTATACTTTCAACTTTTAAAAGACTGATTCTCCTCTCATTTATCTGTTTATATGATTTTTACTTTGTAATTTTGGGGGGATTTGTGTTGTGAAATGGACGTTTTGGAATAATGCCCCTGCTTTTCAGACTGTCTAACACCAGGTGGCAGTAGTACGTAACAGTTGCACATTTTGATCTGTGGGTTTGAGTCCAATCTCACATACATAAAAAAAAATCATAAAATAAGTAAATAAATCATTTCATCAGACCATATAAATATAAAACAAACATCAAAAAGTAGATGACAGCAATCTTAATTATGCTCAAAAGCCTAATTTTGAGCTAAAGAAACCAGAACAAGAGGGTTCATACTGTGTAATTTTATTTATATGAGGTTTAAGAATAGATAAAAACTCAGCTGTGATCAGAGGATGGTGGTTATCTTTATGAGGGTTACTAACTGGGAGAGGATGAGAGGGAATCTTCTGTGGTGCTGGGAGTATTCTATATCTTGATGTGAGAGGTAGTTGTTTAAGTAAAACTTTATTCAATATGCTTAAGATATGAGCACTTTCTGTATGTTATTACTCCATTAAAAAGTAGTTGGTAATTACATATTAGTAAGAAAATCTAATTTTAGTTTAAAAAAATCTGAATATAGATAGTACTAAATATTGGTGAGGATTTTGTGCAACAAGGACTCATATATTGACTGCAGTTGGAAGAATAAATTAGTATATACACTTCGGGTTTTTTTAAAGATATATTTATTTATTTTAGAGAGAGAGCACACATGAGAGTAGGGGGGGCAGAGGGAGATGAGAGAGAGAAAATCCTCAAGCAGACACCCTGCTGAGCGCAGAGCCCCATGTGGGGCTTGACCCCAGGACCCCAACATCATGACCTGAGCTGAAATCAAGAGCCAGACACTTAACCAACTGAGCCACCAAGGCACCCCAGTATAAACACTTTGGAAAGCAATTTGGCATTTGTATTTAGTCAAGTTAAAGACATATATATCATTCAACCCAACACTTCTACTAGTGGGCATAAAGACTAGAGAAAGTGTTATACTGCACATATGTGTCAGGAGATAGGAATAAAATCATTTATATAGAAACATTGTTCCAAATAGCAGAAAATTGGAAGCAACCCAAATGTCCACTGACATAAGGTAGAATAAATAAACTGTATACTTACACAATGGCATAAAACAGTGTAAATAGATGAATTATAGGTACATGCTGTAGTTCAACATATATTGAATAAAAACCAAATCACCAAAAACACAGTATGATTCCATTGATATAAAGGTCAAAATGGTGGACAATAAAACCCATGTTATATAGATTATATATTCAAGAAAAAGCAAGAAAATGATTAATACAAAATTCAAGATACTGGTTTTCTCAAGTGGGGAGGGAAGGGGGATAATCGACAAGGTCCCAGAGTGGACTTCAAAAGTATTGGAAATGTTCTTTTCTTAAACTGGGTGACGGGTTCAAACTTTTGCATATGTCCTTGGTAGAGAAGCCAACAGGGTCATATTGTCATTTGTGGAATTAAGAGTGAATATCTTTAAGGAAGCATTTTCCCTAAGTAGAACCAAGTGGAGGCAGCTCAAAGGAACTTGAGTTGGCCTCAAGACGACTGGCTGTCCGCTGCCACTGACCTTGAATCAATCTGCATCTTCACCTCTCCTGTGGCTCCTGGGCTCTGCAAGGACCTAGGACTGATGCGTAAAGCCCTACTCTTAAAAAAGGACTGCCATCCACTGGCATTCAGTGAATGTTTGTGGGGAATGTGGTGCCAAACCATTGTAAAGTATGCATTGTCACATCAAGAATATATTCGAGAGACAATAGGTATTCTGCTAAAAACTAGTCATTCAACAAATATTTATTGAGCATCTACTATGTACCAGTACATAGCATACAAAATTGTGTCACAATTTTGGGTGACATAAGGGTTTATAAAAAATAGGTAAACAAAAATAGACTTATCTAACAAAAAAAATTTTTTTTTTTTTAAAGATTTTATTTATTTATTTGACAGAGAGAGACATAGTGAGAGCAGGAACACAAGCAGGGGGAGTGGGAGAGGGAGAAGC